CAGGAAGTTTCTATACTTATTCTTGCTTTTTGAGCCATGATGCTTTATCAACACTCCCTTCTAATTTGTTCAAGGTGGTATTTTCCGTCCTAACTTTCCCTTGTAAAGCAGGTGTGTTTTCCACCTTTCTACTACTGGGTAGAATAGCAGCTATACTCACAGGATCTGTATGTCTGGTCATGTTGCTGATGACCAGATGCTGCCCTTGGCTGAGTTGCAGGACCATCCTGATTTCCCATCCTGAACTCTATATTTTCCCTGATGCTTCATACCACTTGTTCCACAAGCAAAGACCTTGGAGGGAGCATCTGATTACAGATGATGCTTCAGTGGGGCAAAGGAATGCAAAGAGAGGCTGGAGATTCAGAGTCCAGTGACTTTGTTTAAATGCTAGAAGTGAAATGATTATAGGGTAGTCTATTTTAAATTTTGGAGAAACTTCTGTAATGTCTTCTACAGTGGCTCTACCAGTCCATGTTCTCATGATGCAAAAAGAATTCCCTGTTCTCTCTTTACCAACAGGTATCTTTTTTATTGTAGCCGTTTATTACCTCATAGTTTAGATTTGCATTTCCTTGATGATTAGTGATGCATATTTTATAGATACATGAGCCATTTGCACATCCTCTTTGGAAAAATATTTTTTCTGTTGCTCTGTCCATTTCTTTTGTTAGTCTTTATATTCATCTTTTTCTTCTCCCTTATTCTTCTTCCTCCTATATTTTAGGTAATGAATCCTTATTAGATTAGTAATTTAAATATATTATAATTATATAGACTTCTTTCTTATTTTGTTGAGTACTTGTTATATAGAAACCTTTTATTTATTTATTTCTCTCTGTTTTTGTTTTGGGGCTGGAGCGATAGCACAGTGGTAGTGCATTTGCCTTGCACGTGGCCGACCTGGATGACTCCTCTCAGACAGCCCGACAAGCTACCGAGAGTGTCTTGCCCACACGGCAAAGCCTGGTAAACTACCCGTGATGTATTAAATATGCCAAGCACAGTAACAAGTCACACAATGGAGATGTTACTGGGCCCACTCGAGCAAATTGATGAACAACGGGAGGACAGTGCTACATGCTACAGTCATTGTTTTGGGGTCACACTCATTATTCCTCAGGACTTACTCCTAGTTATCTACTCAGAGATCACTCCTGGTGGGGTCAGGGGACCATATGGGGTGCAGGGATCAAATCTGGGTTGACTGCGTTCAAGGCAAGTGTCCTACCTGTTGTACTTTCCAGCTTCTATAGAAACTTTTTAGCTTATGTGGTCTCGCTTAAATCTTTGCTTTTGTTCTCTGTACTTTTGATGTCATATCCAGAAAATAAATACCAAGACCAATGTAAAAGAGACTTTTTCTAGTTTTTGATTTTGAGTCTTCCTTTGGTTTAAACCTTAAATTCATTTTGAATTAATTTATGTGTTTTAAGATAGGATTTGGTTTTGTTCTTGTATGACTGTTCAGTTCCCCAGCACCATTTATTAAAGAGACTTTCATTTCCCCATTGAATAACCTACAAATATTAGTTGATCAATGTATGGAGGTTTATTTATGGCCACTCAGTTCAGTTACATTGGTCTATGTATCTACTTTTGTTGTTGTAACATACAAGTTTAAAACAAGGAAGTCTGATGTCTCCCAGCTCTAATGTTGTTTACTAGGATTGTTTTGTCTCTTCTGGGACTTTTGTGACCTTGGTACACATTTTAAGATTGTGTATTTTTGTATTTCTCTGGAAGATGACACTGGAATCAATAGACAACTAAACTGAAATTTTTGAGGTAATGAAAATATACATCTTGGGTCTACAGATAGATATGTCTGTGAGAAATCATTGTCTATGAGCATTCATGCAGATTAAGCTGATTTTGTTGTATGTCACCTATGCCACAATAAAGTAAATACAGCATATAAATGGAAAGTATGCAATTCTTGAAACACAACTTATAATCAAAGGAGTGCAATCTAAGAACTTTTTTTCATCAAATTGTTTTATCATCAAATTGACTGAGTTCAAAAGGCACTTGATGGTAAGACCTGGGGTAAAGGTGTTCCACACACCACTCAGAGGCATGACTTTATTCTATAATCTTTGTCACGAGTGAATCAGAAAGTTCTCACAAATGCCTCTCTACCACCATTTTTTCTCTCTGCCCAGGTGCTTTGTCATTTTTTTTTTTTTGGTGTGTGTGTGTGTGTGGGGTCACACCTGGAGATGCTCAGGGGTTACCCCTGGCTCTACACTCAGGAGTTACTTCTAGGCCAAGTGGGATGCCAGGGATCGAACCTGGGTCACCCACGTGCAAGGCATGTCCTACCTGCTGTACTATCCCTCCGGCCCCTGCTTTGTTGTTCTTAAAATAATAATCCCTGCGTTGTTCCGTAGGGACGAGCTTGGTGAATTCAGTGCTCCTTGGTGATTTGGCAAAGTCTGAGAGCCGATACATATATATGCAAAGACATCTCATTGTGAATCTTCCCCTATCCCCTAATGTTGCACACATGATGCGTAGTTTAAGTCTAGACCTAGACGGAATCAGACCTAGTAGTTGCTTCTCAGAGACTATGGTTGGAAAAATACTCATACAACGCACATGAAAAAAGTGAAAAAAAAAAAATGAAGTTTTATCTGTCATGGAGCAAGCCTCAGTAATAGACTTCAGAGATGATGTGCTGGGAAATGAGGTTGTCCTGGCAACTATCTCTGGAAAAAACAAACCCTACACAAATCCCCCTAGAACCTCCAGTGGCTTCTCTGCACTTGACTCTCAAAGAGAGTTTGCTTTAATTTCATTTTAATGAATTGTTTTTCCTGCATTTAGTTTGCTCAGTGGGACTGAGGCCAAGAGGTAGAATCGATTAGAGTTGTGCTGGGCTGTGTAAATCCATCCCTGCTGAGTCGGGGTGGGGGAGTGAGCAAGAGCCTGGGGGGGGGGGGGGAGGGATGTAGGCAGATTTACAGCTGCGGCCAGTATGCATGGCTTAGGAGGGGCTGGCCTGGAGGAAGATGTGCGCTGCCTTTGTGTTTTGATTTTATAATCCTCCTAAGAGAACTACTCCCCTTATCCCTGTCCCTCAAACCTGTCAAATCCATGGGTGCACTGACACGCATTTCTCTTATAACCAAGATTTCTTTCTTGTTCATGAGATCCATCATGCTGAATCTTGCCAAGGCCCTGGAAAGGGGAGAAGAGCACAAAGGGCCACCTACAACTTTGTTAGTTCATGGGCAAGCAACAGCTTTGCTGAGATCTGCTTTCACGTGACATGCAGTTCGCTTTCTGGAGACATGGCCCATGTGGTCATGTGATCAGTCCTGGCTACCCAGTGCATTCTTTCTGAGAAGCTCAGCTGAATCCCCAAGACCATGTAATTTGAAGTTGCTCAGACCCAGAGTGACAGGATCCAGACTGCGTGTGATTAGTGGGGCTTTCCTCTACCCCAGCTGGAAGAAATTGAGTAGAAGGATCTGTGCGTTGCTTTGCATCTTCTGTATGAGGGTGCTGGATCATGATACTCAGTAAATACTCAATACAAGGTAAAAAGACTCACTTTTCCCTCAGTGCCTTTTTTCCTAATTGTGCTTTAAAAAGATGATATCTGGGGACCAAGGAGAAGGTTCATAGGACTGGGACACATGCTTTCTTTGCACACAAGAGTTCTGGATTTGATCCCCAGCACCACGTGGGTTTCCAAGAACAGGCCTGGAAGTAGCTCCTTAGGTACAGAGGGGGGAGGGGTAATAGCTTGAAGGACTATATTAGAGGCTTTGCATGTTAGAGCCTCTGGGTCAGTCCTTGGCACTGCATGGTCCCCTGAGCACCACTGGAAGTGACCCCTGAGCACTTCTAGTTATGGTCCCAAAACGAAGGCGACAATGGAATAAGATGGAATCTGAATAAAAGTTTAAGTCATTAGAGCCACGACAAGCTAATGTTATTAAGTGTGTCAACTGTGGATGTCTTCCCTGGGGAATCTGATTGTTGGCAGAGACCCCGAAGGAGCCTCTGTTGACTGTGCCGGGCATTCTCTGCCCTGGAGTAAAGCTCTCCAGATGCTTGCTGGTCCCTGGCATCAGGGAAGGGCACTGCTTCATCGCCGGTGGTAGGTAGAAAACAGGTACAAAGTCACAGTCAGATGGAGCTCCTCAGCACAAAGGGAGAGTCAAGGCAGAGCGTAGGTTCCTAAGAAGAGAAGCAAAACTAAGCCTTAGGAGCCCTCTCTTCACTGTGGCCCAGTGCTCACAGATTTGTGGCTGTGGCTCTGAGCTCAGGAGAGTGAGTACCTGCCTGCCCCCTTCTGACCCTGCGCCCTGAGTGCAAACCCCACCCGCCTAGCATCCTCTTTCTGCTGTTTGGAAGCTGTGGGATCTGGAGCTGGCGCAGAGATCCAGTGTCCTCCCGAGCCCAGCGGGGAAACTCCTAATGCCACACATAGAGCTTAAGGACGGGGCCTCTCCCAGTGCCAGTACTCTCAGTTTTTCTCTTTTTCCTAAGTGGAATGGGAGAAGTTGCACACAGGCTGTTGTGGTTGCTTATGATTTCCCCATTAGGTTTACCAGAGCAGGGAACTCATCCTCCAAGCTCTGACCTCCAGGCAGGGTGAAGTGGCTGTCCTGTCAGGAATGGCGCCAGGGGAGGGTCTCATGCCTTACAAACTGAGCCATGGGCTGCAGAGGGAAGCAAGGACATAGGGCCCCCTGTGGGTGACAGAGTTATCCCTGTGGAGCTTTGTGACTCTCTCCTCAGTTGTACCGGACTTACTCTGGAGACAGATTTCTCCCACAGATACTTCCTAGGATGACTCAAGGCACTTGGGGACAGGAAAACAGTGACGCAAGTAGGAAGAAATGCCACCTTCTTGGCGTTTCAAAATCTCCCTGTTCAAATGCCAGTCACCAGGAGGAACTTTCTCTCTCTCTCTCTCTCTCTCTCTGTCTCTCTCTCTCTGAGTCGTTCATCTCTTTTGCCCACACAGACCCTCTCAGGGAAGCATGGCCGAAGAGAATGTCTCCCTGGTGTCGGAGTTTGTCCTGGTGGGCCTCACCTACCAGCTGGGCCTCCAGATGCCCCTCTTCTTCCTCTTCCTGGCTTTCTACCTGGTCACCGTGGTGGGGAACCTGAGCCTGATCAGCCTGATTGGCCTGAACCCTCACCTGCACATTCCCATTTACTTTTTCCTCTTCAACTTGTCCTTCATCGATTTCTGCTATTCGTCCGCTATCATCCCCAAAATGCTGATGGGTTTTATCTTGAAGAAGAACCTGATTTCCTACGGGGGCTGCATGACTCAGCTCTTCTTCTTCTGTTTCATTGTCTTCTCTGAGTCTTTCACCCTGTCAGCCATGGCATATGACTGCTACGTCGCCATCTGTAAGCCATTGCAGTACATGGTCACCATGTCCCCTCAGGTGTGCTGGCTCCTCTTGCTGGGAGTCTACGGGATGGGGGTTTTCGGGGCCTTCTCCCATACTGTAAATATGTCGTTTCTGACTTTCTGCACTGACAACCTTGTCAATCACTATATGTGCGACGTCCTTCCCCTCCTGGAACTCTCCTGCAATGGATCCTACGTCAATGTCCTAGTGGTCTGGATTGTTGTGACCATTGGCATTGGGATACCCATCAGTGCCATTTTTATCTCTTATGGTTTCATTCTCGGTAGCATTTGCCACATCAGCTCCACAGAGGGCAGGTCCAAAGCCTTTAGCACTTGTAGCTCCCACATAATTGCAGTTTCTCTTTTCTTTGGTTCAGGAGTGTTTATGTATCTCAAACCACCTTCCATCTTACCTCTGGATCAGGGAAAAGTGTCTTCCCTGTTTTATACCATTGTTGTGCCTATGTTTAATCCCTTGATCTATAGCCCGAGGAATAAGGATGTCAAACTGGCACTCAAGAAAACCTTAGACTGGATAACTGTCTCTTGAAAAAAATACTGGAAATTGAGAAAAGAAATCCAGGGATTTTTAAAATTTAGAATTGTGGTGATGATTTCAATGAAGAATATAAATGCCATATTTTTATTCTATATGTAGAGGAAGTTTTAATTCTTTATCCCTGATGGATTTATTTTCTCTCATCCTCACTTCAACTCCTCCTTTATTTTATACAATTATAGCAATTCAGTATTTAATAGGGACTAGAATCGTATAATCAGACGCCTTTATGTAATATACCACACTTGGAGCACTCAGAAATATTTGTACATTGCCTAGGAACAGAACTTCCTGGTGCCAGAGATGGAACGAAAAATCAACTTGAGTTTAGTTTGTTTTCCTTTATGCCATGTTTTCTTGCCTCATTTCTTTCTTGGAAGATTTCATTTCACATGCTAGTTGACCTGGCACATTTGAATTGTGAATATATTCACAGTAATTTCATGCTACTTTTCACAGGATAATTTTAATATATAACATTTTGCGAGAGAGTAGGAGGTGAAAAAACTTGAGTTAGTCTTGGCAAAATGACAAGATCAGTGTTTAATGAATTTTGTAGTGTGTAAGTGGGAAGTGTGTTAGGTTTCATATAGAGACAAGTGTGGGAACTACTGACTTGGTGGGTAGTCTGTGCTTTAGGGACATAGTTTATTGAGTTAGAACTTTCAGGGCAAAGAAAAATAATTTTCTGGGGTCTAAAGATGATGGGTGGAAGTGTCATTATTTCTTATGGGCATAATTTGGAGCCCTATTTTAAGGGCTATCCTGTTTGTGTGCCATTCAGTATGGTTTCCAGTAGTGATGGATGGCATTGAGTACTTGAAACACAGTCATCCAAATCAGACATACTATTAGTGTGCCACATAAGAATAAATTCACACTGTATCTTTAAACAATATGAAAAAGTAATGCAAAATATATCATTGATAACATTGATAACGTGTTAACACGATAACGCTGGGTGAATAAAATATGTAATTGAAATGAATTCCTATTTAAAATATATCCTCTCTGAAGTTGAGAATAATGTGTGTGGGTTCATTAGTGGGGCTGTTGGTCTAGAGAATATAGTGGAGACTTTGGGTACATAGTTAGGACAGCAGCAATCTGTTGCTTAGTAGAAGAGGAATTACTTTAAACTTTTAGGGCATTGCATACAGCCATGATTCTTTCTGAGAATGGAGCTAATGTGGAAGGGGCCGTGATCTCAGTCAGTCCATCTATTGTGTTGTGTAATGAAAAATACAGGCATTTTTGAAAAAAATCAAAAGAGTTTTGGATCTCAACTCATCATTTGGATCTCAACTCATCATTAGTGGTAATATTTCTTTGAGAAAGTAAATGAAATGCTAGGGAAATATTCTTATGAAATTTTTCTTTTCTTTTTTGCTTTTTTTGGTCATATCCAGAGATGCACATGGGTTACTCCTGGCTCTGCACTCAGGAATTACTCCTGGCAGTAGTCGGGGGACCATGTGGGATGCTAGGAATTGCACCTGGGTCGGCCATGTGTAAGCAAACGCTCTACTCACTGTGCTATCGCTCCAGCCCCTGAACCTTTTTCTTTTTTTTGGGTGGAGAACCATACCCAGTGCTGCTTAGGGTTCCCTCCAGTGATGCTGAGGGACCATGTGGTGCTGGGGATCAAGCTCAGGTCTCCTGCACACAAAACATGCTTTGCACCATTGAATCGTCTTTCGCTGAACTTTCTGGACCTTTAAAAAGGAAACTTCAGCTGGAAAATATGGAAAGTACAGATAAATATTTGGTTTTACTTTTTGATTCTGTTCCATGTTGTTGGAATGAAAGAACAAGCCTGTAAAAGGAAGATTATACTTTATTTAAAAACGTTTTATTTTAGCACTGTGGCTTACAAAACTGTTAATGATAGGGTTTTCGGCACAGCACGGTCCCTCACCACACCCTCCTCCAAATGTGTCTGCCTTCCTCTACCATTGTCCAGTGTCTCCCCTTCACCTAATGTCCCCCCTTCCCTCCCCTGTGATAATTTTCTACTGAAGACCAGTTCTCAGTTTCTGTTGCCGTTGGGTATTTGTTATATCTCTGCTGTAGCACTGTAGCACTGTCCTCCTCTTACTCATCGATTTGCTCGAGTGGGCACCAGTAACATCTCACAACAAATTGTGAGACTTATTGTTACTGTTTTTGGCATATCAAATACATCACGGGTAGCTTTCCAGGCTTTGCTGTGCGGGTGAGATACTCTCGGTAGCTTGCTGGGCTCTCTGAGAGGGACAGAGGAATTGAACTCGGGTGAGCTGTGTGCAAGGCAAACGCCCTACCTGCTGTGCTATCGCTCCAGCCCAAGATTAAATAGATAGCTGAATTTAGAAGTGGAGCTCGTGTGTTCACTAGGTAGTACAGTGATAAAAGAAACAGAAATATTTAAAACATTTTACCATAGAACTTGGGCTGGAGCGATAGCACAGTGGTAGGGCGTTTGCCTTGCACGCAGCCAACATGGCCGACCCGAGTTCGATTCCTCCGCCCTTCTCGGAGAGCCCGGCAGCTACCGAGAGTATCTCACCCGCACGGCAGAGCCTGGCAAACTACCCGTGAGGTACTCGATATGCCAAACACAGTAACAACAAGTCTCATGATGGGGGACGTTACTGGGCCTGCTCGAGCAAATCGATGAATGCGAGGACTGTGACCGTGACCATAGAACTTGCATATACTAAAACTCACAAAGCTTGAGTGAATGGTTGTTGATCTTTTGCGTATATATGAGATCACAGTCTGTCTGTATCAAGATGTCAAACATTTACATTCACCTCTGAAGTTTTCCTCTGGTTTCTTTCTTGTAAATACGACAGCCTTTGCCCCATCAGCCTGAACTATCCACAATTTTTTTCACTGTCATAAATTTGTCTTAATTATATTTGAACTTTATATAAATGAGGACTGTGTTATTTCTAGCATACTTTCCTTAGTAGAGAGCCTGTGATGTTCATCTCTATTATCATGGTATTCTGTTCCATTATGCAGATATACAGTTATTTGTTAACCTATTAGCAAATATTGAAGTTTTTGCCTATTACCAGTAAAGCTTCTAAAAGATTGTTAATAAAAAAGTAGTGACTTATTGCGCAGAGTGGAATCTGGCTCTAGCATGCTGAGAGTCGTATTTTATAAAGAAGGGCCATAAATCACAGCCTGTTTTCCTCGAGTTTTTCCCAAATAGTAAATTCTCAAATTTTTCTTTTTTTGCTTGTTTTTGGGTCACCTGCGACTCTTTGTTCAGGGCTTACTCCTGACTCTGCATTCAGGAATCGTTTCTAGCCAGCTTGAGGGACCTTGTGGGATGCGGGGGATTGAACCCGGTCAGTTGTGTGCAGGGCAAGTGTCCTACCTGCTGTAACTATTGCTCTGATCCCAATTCTCAAGTTTTTCAGCCTGATAGGTGTAAACAGTTCTTAAGTGTCAGGATTCACATTTTCCTAATTATGAAAAAGATTGGAAATGTTTTCTTATGTTTAATGACCACTTCTGTTAACATCTTATGTCGAATGTTTTCATGGATTTTGATTTTCCCAGCTCTTAAGAGAAATGTAAACTAGTTTTTGTTTGATGCATGAATTGCATATTTTCCCCAGTTTGTGATTTGACTTTTCTTGTTTCCAATATGCTTTATCGCACTGTCGCACTGTCCTCCCGTTGTTTACCGATTTGCTTGAGCGGGCCCAGTAGCATCTCCATCGTGAGACTTGTTGCTACTGTGTTTGGCATATCCAATACCTCATGGGGAGCTTGCCAGGCTTTGCTGTGTGGGCAGAATACTCTCGGTAGCTTGCTGGGCTCTCCGAGAGGGGCGGAGGAATCGAACCCTGGTTGGCGGCGTCGACCATGTGCAAGGCAAATGCCCTACCTGCTGTGCTATCGCTCCAGCCCATGATGCTTTATAATTACATTTATTAATCTTTTGCTTCTGGTGCTTTAATTCAAGTTAGATACGTCTTCCTCTTGGGGTCAGATTGATAGTACAGTGGGGAAGGCATTTGCCTTGCTTGTAGCTGACCCGACTTCAATCCTTGGCATCCCATATGGTCCCCTGAGCACCACCAGGGGTAATTTCTGAGTGCAGAGCTAGAAGTAACCCTTGAGCATCGCTGGGTGTGACCAAAAAAGGGGAAAAAAAGAAAAAAGAAATGTCTTTTAAGTTATAAGGAAAGTCACTCGCTTTTTCTTAATGTTTGTATGATTTCATTTTTTTTTTACATTTGAAAGTCTGATATTTTAAGAAATTGTACCAGTGTATGGTGTGAGGAATGGCTCCAACTTTATCTTTTTTCCATATGGCTATCCAGTTGTTCTATCACCATTTATAAAAAAAGTCCATTTTTTTTCCCTACTGATTTGAGCTGCCGCCTTCAGTGCAGACTAAGTTCCATAGGCATGGGGCTATTTCTGTGTTCTCCATTCTGTTCCATTGGTCTGTCAGTCTATTCATAAGCCAATACCATACTGCTTTAATTATAGAAGCTTCATAATGTTTTTATATCTTGGAGGTAACTTCCCACATATTGTTCTTTTTTTTTTTTGCTGGGATTTTCCTGAATATTCATGTTTAACTCTAACCTTTGTAATCAATCCATCTAGTTCCAGGAGAGAAACCACAAAAACTGATTTATTGATTGCATCTTAAATTTGTAAGTAAACCTAGGGAAAACTGATGCCTTTGGATCTTGAGACATTCAGTTGTGATGTACATATATGTCTTCCATATTTCCTCCAGGCATACTTTAGTATCTTTTAGGGATTTTCACAATTTTCTTCGTCTATTTTGCCATGTAATGAGGGTTTTTCTTTTGTTATAATCTCTGATTAGTATTTGTATATATAAATTCTGGTTACTTTTACATTGTGCCATTATTATCTGCAGAAATTTCCCCAGGGATTCTTGGAGGTTTTTCACATATATAATAAAATCTTTTATAAATATAATTTTGCCTATTTTCTCTTGATTCTTG